AGGACTACCAAATTTGTGGCACGGTATCGAGTTAACAAGAAACGAGCCGATTGTTATTACCAACGTAATCAGTTGTCCACGGGTAGTGAGAAATAATGATTCTGCAGCCTTCATCTCGGTGATTTATAGTGGCTAAAGAACTTTTTTCGGGAAGATTTGATAAAGGCACTAATTCTTACAATGACATGGCTAAAATAATCGATCTTGTGACGTCACGTTAAACAGCGTCCCCCTTGCTAATTTTTCAACGCGCTTGGTTTGTATTATCAAAAGCCTAAAGCTTGCTTTGTCCCCCAGCCCATACACATCATTCTACAGCCTGGTTCATTTGTTTAGTACTATCCAAACATGTCACCACAGGAAATTGACGAGAACAAGCGCAAGTTCGAAGAAACAAGCAGGAATGAAGAGAAACAGCAAGAAAACAGTCAGTCCGAAGATAGTCAAGGAGAAGATGAATATGTCGTAGAGAGAGTTTTAAGACATCGCAGGAAAAACGTGAGTCTTTATTCAGGCTGAGCATAGTGATTTCCCCTTGATTCAAAAGCTTATCTATTTAATTTCTTGCTGACTACTTAGGGTTGTCTACAGTTCTTCCTCAAATGGAAAGGGTATCCAGATTCCGAAAATACGTGGGAGGACGAAGGAAACGTGTACGCATTACTCGGCCACATTTGTTGATTTCGTTGATTTTAGTTTACCACTAGTAGTTTTTAAATTTGATTCAATCAGTTTTGCCCAAAATTTAGTCGAAGAATATTGGGAAGGGATTGGAGGAAGGCCTAATACAAAGACGGTGTCCAAGTCGAAAACCAACGGTGATAGTTCATCAAAGTCAGCTCCCCGGTCAGACTTCAAGCGGAAACGAGCAACAGACTTATCAGATGAAGGAATAGATACTGATGACGATTTTCCGCCTTCCTACTGGGGGAGTTGGGAGGAAGAAGTGGAGAATATCGAAACCGTAGAAAAGACTAACGAAGGCTTATTAGTCTATCTGCATTGGTATGTCGTTCTCAGCAACGAGTCTATTTTCATGAATCAAAAGGCAGATAACTCGTCCGCTAATAATTCTCCCGTAGGAAAAACGGTCAGA